TGTACTCTAACAATAAATCAATTTGTGAAAACACTTGCACTGACTCTGTGTTCGAATTGTTCTAATTTTATTTTTGACTCTGCTCGAACTGTTCTGACCTGAATTTGCCGTTTATGCTCTAATTATGTTCCAGTTGCATTAATTCTATTTGCATTTTGAATTACTCTGACTGTTCCAATTATTTCAATTCTGTTCTATCTGCACTAACTCTGTTGTACCTACTCTAAATCATTCAATTTATGTACTCTAACAACAAATCAATTTGTGAAAACACTTGCACTGACTCTGTGTTCGAATTGTTCTAATTTTATTTTTGACTCTGCTCGAACTGTTCTGACCTGAATTTGCCGTTTATGCTCTAATTATGTTCCAGTTGCATTAATTCTATTTGCATTTTGAATTACTCTGACTGTTCCAATTATTTCAATTCTGTTCTATCTGCACTAACTCTGTTGTACCTACTCTAAATCATTCAATTTATGTACTCTAACAATAAATCAATTTGTGAAAACACTTGCACTGACTCTGTGTTCGAATTGTTCTAATTTTATTTTTGACTCTGCTCGAACTGTTCTGACCTGAATTTGCCGTTTATGCTCTAATTATGTTCCAGTTGCATTAATTCTATTTGCATTTTGAATTACTCTGACTGTTCCAATTATTTCAATTCTGTTCTATCTGCACTAACTCTGTTGTACCTACTCTAAATCATTCAATTTATGTACTCTAACAACAAATCAATTTGTGAAAACACTTGCACTGACTCTGTGTTCGAATTGTTCTAATTTTATTTTTGACTCTGCTCGAACTGTTCTGACCTGAATTTGCCGTTTATTCTCTAATTATGTTCCAGTTGCATTAATTCTATTTGCATTTTGAATTACTCTGACTGTTCCAATTATTTCAATTCTGTTCTATCTGCACTAACTCTGTTGTAACTACTCTAAATCATTCAATTTATGTACTCCAACAACAAATTAATTTATAAAAACACTTGCACTGACTCTGTGTTCGAATTGTTCTAATTTTATTTTTGACTCTGCTCGAACTATTCTGACCTGAATTTGCTGTTTATGCTCTAATTATGTTCCAGTTGCATTAATTCTATTTGCATTTTGAATTACTCTGACTGTTCCAATTATTTCAATTCTGTTCTATCTGCACTAACTCCGTTGTAACTACTCTAAATCATTCAATTTATGTACTCCAACAACAAATTAATTTATAAAAACACTTGCACTGACTCTGTGTTCGAATTGTTCTAATTTTATTTTTGACTCTGCTCGAACTGTTCTGACCTGAATTTGCCGTTTATGCTCTAATTATGTTCCAGTTGCATTAATTCTATTTGCATTTTGAATTACTCTGACTGTTCCAATTATTTCAATTCTGTTCTATCTGCACTAACTCTGTTGTACCTACTCTAAATCATTCAATTTATGTACTCTAACAATAAATCAATTTGTGAAAACACTTGCACTGACTCTGTGTTCGAATTGTTCTAATTTTATTTTTGACTCTGCTCGAACTGTTCTGACCTGAATTTGCCGTTTATGCTCTAATTATGTTCCAGTTGCATTAATTCTATTTGCATTTTGAATTACTCTGACTGTTCCAATTATTTCAATTCTGTTCTATCTGCACTAACTCTGTTGTACCTACTCTAAATCATTCAATTTATGTACTCTAACAACAAATCAATTTGTGAAAACACTTGCACTGACTCTGTGTTCGAATTGTTCTAATTTTATTTTTGACTCTGCTCGAACTGTTCTGACCTGAATTTGCCGTTTATGCTCTAATTATGTTCCAGTTGCATTAATTCTATTTGCATTTTGAATTACTCTGACTGTTCCAATTATTTCAATTCTGTTCTATCTGCACTAACTCTGTTGTAACTACTCTATATCATTCAATTTATGTACTCTAACAATAAATTAATTTGTAAAAACATTTGCACTGACTCTGTGTTCCAATTATTCTAAACAATGTCAAATAAGTGTTCTAGAACACATTCAATTTGTTCACAGTTTTTTTAGAACTGGTTCCAAATTATTTCTGAATTAATTCCTAGTGTTCCGCCATTCAATAAGAACAGGTTCTGGATCGATTATAACACATAGAGTGCATGAATATCTTAAATTAAATTACTGTTTTTGGTTCTCGATTCATTCAGAACTGGTTCCGAATTGTTCAATTGCTATTCCGAACTCTAAAAAAAAAAACTGGTACCCAATCTAAACCTAAATAAGTGTTGCGGAACATATTGAACTTGATGTTTCTTGTTCGTAATTAAGTTAGAATCAGTTCTGAATAGAATTCTATTTTGTAAATGTCACTTTTTTTTTGCACTGTTATAAATTCTATTTACCTGGAGATGTTCTGGTGATCCTAGAACACATTATACCTGTCAGTGACCTGTCATACTCCATGCGTTTTGCACTGCACTCGAACGGATTAAACTGTAGCTAGAGTACTTCGGAGTAATTCGGGTGGCACCCGAGAGCCGCTCTGTGCTCAACTAAAATCAGTTTGGGATCGGTTCTATATGTTCCAAGATTGACCAAGAATCTGTTCCGAACTCGTTTATAGTTAGAAAATTTCTTGTTCTGAACTGGTTTGCAATTGAACAATGCAAAATAAGTGTTTTAAAACATATTCAATTTGTTCGCAGTTTATTTGGAACCAGTTCAATTCAATGAGCCTATTAAATATTATTATGACACTTGGAAATTATTTATTAAACTTCAAAATTTGTGTCATTTTCATTGAAAAATTAGACGATTTTTGACAGCTGTCATAGTTGAATTTGATAACACTATAATTATGTAAAATAATAATAAATAAAAATAAAATTTTAATTTGAATTTAACCAAATTTTTCATAGGGAATGCCCTTTACATACCTCTAAGTGGAAAAAAATATTGATAGATTTGCCGATTTACCATTGTAAAATAGGACTAAATATCAAACTTTTTTCCAATTTTTAGTAAAGTGCGTTCCATTTGTAGAGTTCCTCAAAAATGAATCTTTATTTGTTATTTACACATTAAGGTTGCTTTAAAAATTAATTATTTAATTAATTTTTGAAAAAAAATTTCTAAACATCATTTTTTTTTAAAAAGAGACTTTTGAATTAAACAAATTCTTGACAGCTGTCAATTTTATCTATTCTAGATAATTTGACAGTTGCCATCTACCTTGTCATATTTGATTTACAAGTGCTAAAAAAATAAATAATTGAACGTCTCTTTTGAGTCTCACAGTGACATCATCTATAGAAAAATTTGTCCTTGAATTGAGCGATTTTTGACAGCTGTCAGTTTGATGTTCAATGAGCCTATTAAATATTATTATGACACTTGGAAATTATTTATTAAACTTCATAATTTGTGTCATTTTCATTGAAAAATTAGACGATTTTTGACAGCTGTCAAAGTTGAAATTGATAACACTATAATTATGTAAAATAATAATAAATAAAAATAAAATTTTAATTCGAATTTAACCAAATTTTTCATAGGGAATGGCCTTTACATACCCCTAAGTGGAAAAAAATATTGATATATTTGCCGATTTACCATTGTAAAATAGGACTAAATATCAAACTTTTTTCCAATTTTCAGTAAGGTGCGTTCCATTTGTAGAGTTTCTCAAAAATAAATCTCAATTTGTTATTACACATTAAGGTTGCTTTAGAAGTTTATAAATTAATTATTTTGGAAAAAAATTGCTAAATGTCATTTTTATTGAAAATAGGCTTTTGAATTAAACAAATTCTTGACAGCTGTCAATTTTAAATTGACACGCATCAAAAGTTATTAATTTGAAAATTAAAAACTAGATTCAATATCCAACTACAAAATGTTTGCCTGCTTTAAATTACACAACTTTTGACAGCTGTCAATTTAGACTACCTTATCGTTATACATTTGTACACTTTCATCGATGACAGTTACTTACCTGAAACAATTAAAATTTCGTTAAAAATGTCAGCAAAGGAAATATTGTTTGACCACATTGTGAAAACAAAATGAGTGAGAAAGAGATGGATATAAAGTAGGAAATGGAAATTTGTGGCATGAATTTTGATTATTTTCGGCACTTGTATATGTAACTTTTGTATCTTTTTAATTAAGAGCCTGAAATAATAAGAGAGAAAAATAATTATATAAGAAATTCAATGAAAAAGAAAGAGATGGAGGTATAATAGAATGACACATATTTTCATTATTCCTGGCGCTTGAGTGACCACGTAATTTCCTTGTCCGACCAATCAAGAGCCTGGAATAATAAAATAAAGGATATAGAAAATTGAATAAGTAAGAAAGAGACAGAAATAAAGTGGGATTATAAAAATGTGATTAATATTCCAGGTTTAAAATGACAAAATGAGAGACGACATAGGAAATATAATGAGTAAGAAAGAGACAAATATAAAGTAGAAAATTTGCGGCACGAATTTTGATTATTCTTGGCACTTGAGTGAACTTGTATGTAACTTTTGTGTCAGTTCGATGTTCAATGAGCCTATCAAATGTTATTATTATGACACTTGGAAATTATTTATTAAACTTCAAAATTTGTGTTTTTAGACGATTTTTGACAGCTGTCAAAGTTGAATTTGATAACACTATGAATATTGTAAAATAATAATTTGAATTGAAGCAAATTTTTCATACGGAATTGCCTTTAGATACCCTCAAATGGAAATAAGCATTGATATTGATGCTATTTTTCCCATTATAAGATATCGTTCTTTATCAAACTTTTTTCCAATTTTCAGTAAAGTGCGTTCCAATGTAGTTTTGTAGCTGCAAAGTCTTTTGACTATAATATTATTTTTCCCATGACTATGTCAACCATATCAAGTTCAATTAATTTGGTACAAATTTATAGAGAATTTAAATTTAGAGCCGGGAATGATTTTTCAATTGTCCCTAAATCTATACTTTTCAAAGTACCATACAATTGTCACAGTCAAATGTCACATTTTAATCATTTTTTCTGTATTTTAAAATGAGTAGACAACCAAAATTGGCCCGCGTGGCGAGTCTCTGGACTATTCAGTCCATTATAGGCGCTTGCCAGATGGATTTCAGCTGGAATTTTCAGAGTAAGGCCTCATTTATCTAATTTCAAACTTACAAGTGGATTTTTCCAGACACCGCAATCATGTTCCATCCACAAGACATTCTAATTTTGCTATTTCTGGCCTGGATGCTCAACAAAGGATTCTCAATTAAACATTTCGGGTTGATAATTCCCTGGTTGTTTATCAGTTTCTATGTTTTGTATTGCTACCATTGGCAAAGCGTGGAAAAGTTGGGCAAAAGTTTGAGCGCTAACCAGCGCTACGCCTCCTCTACCAATGTCGTGGCTTTTTACCTGCACTCTTTTGGACTCCGTAAACAATAGCTGAATTAAAAACCCGCCTATTAATTTATTAGATTTTTTTTTTTAGTATTGCAAGCGCTCATTATTGTCGAAATTAGCCGACTGGCGTTGAAATTGTGGGCGGAAAATGACGAACGAAAATAAAAATTTCATCAAATTTTATGTAGTTTTTTTTTTTGCACAGTGCGGTGTAAACGCACCCAAGACATTTCAAAAAACCATCAACATTGGAAAAAAATCCAAAATATATTAACTGCCTAACATATAGGGTGACATTTTAAAATTTTACAATGGCTATATGGTACATATAGTACATTTAAAAGATTAGTACAATAATTGTACTATTTCGTTCATGTACTACACATCCCTATATTATAAATTCCCCCTTTAAACTCTTTGCAAAATTAATTATAATGTCATTTTACTTGAAGGCAATTAAAGTTATGCAATACAGTTTTTTCAGTCAAAATCACTCAAGTTTTTATGCATTAAAAGTAATTGTCAATTCACTTCTTATCATTCAGAATCATTGTTAAAAGTCAGAAAAACAATAATAATCACTAAATTGTCACTCGATAAAATACTTAATTTAATTTACTTCAAAAATCTATAGAGCACACACATAATGTTGAATGACTTTAAATGTTCTTTTTTTTCTCGATTTTCCGTTATTATTTCAAAGATTCAATCAAACGCGTTTTCCCCGAGGCAAAAATAAAACAAACTCTTTTATCCGGACTGACTCATTAGGTACTGTAGACTTTAACTCAAACTGGACTGAACTAACCACTGATCTCAAAACCACTGTATTTATATGTTTCGTCCCCCCAAAATTCCCAATTTTATCATTCATTTAGAAGATGATACAATCTATTTGAAATTTGTGTCATTTCTTTGTTTTATTTTTCAATGGGGTAAGTGACCAAAACTTTAGTTTGAAAGTTGTTTTTTTTTTTTTGGATTTTCCACTTTTCCAAGGTTTTTTCAGTCGGGAAAACTGGTTTAAAGTACGAGGCTTTAAGTTTGCTTCATTTTTTTACCAAAAACTTCCACTTTTAGACTTAAATTGTATCCTACCTTATCTCCTTCTTTGTCTTACCTACTATTAAATAGGCCTTGAAATGTCATTTTCATTAAATTTTGTTAACAATAAGTTTCCAACGCATTATTTAGAAATTTGTCATCTTTTTTAAACATTATTAATTAATTATTTAACTAAATTTAATACAAAAAATCATTTGAAATATAATTTTTTTCCTATTTGAAATGTGGCAACGTCGCTTTCAATCAAGCAGGCCTTGTAATGTAATGTCATTTTTTTGCCAGTTTTGACAGTCGGCTATTTTTGAGTGGTTTTATCCCGATTTTTCCAGTTTTCCAGGCCGTTTTCAATCGGGAAAATTGGTTTTAGGTACGAGGTTTTGAGTTTTCTTCATTTTCTGCTGAAAATTTCCGGGTTAAGCAACAAAAACTTTAGTTTTATCAAGCAGGCTTTGCAATGTAATTTTTAGAGGTTTTTCTTTAGATTTTCCGCCTTTCTAGGACATATTCGGTCGGGAAAACCGATTTAAAGTACGAGGCTTTGAGTTTTCTTCATTTTCTAGCGAAAATTTCTAGTTTCAAATGCAATAATTAGCAAAATTCCATTTAAAATGCTTTTTCTGAAAGTTTTGATGTGGCAACACCGCTTGTGGCCAACTTCAAGTAGGATTTGTAGTAAATGTCATTTGCCAGTTTTGACAGTCGGCTATTTTTAATTGACGTGTTTACATTTCTATCCAGTTTTTCTTTGAATTTTCCGATTTTCCATGTCGTTTTCAATCAAAAAAACTATATACTTATATAAATAATGCAATATTAAAAATGGAAAAAAAAAACAGTGTTGCAATGTCGCATTTTGATTTTGGCATATAACGTCAAATGTCACTTATGTCAAATTTTAATTTGTTAGTGCGACAAAATGAGTAAAAATTTTCATAACCATGTCAAAATTTGATTTTTTTTTTGAAAATATAAAAAAATTAATTTGTCAATACGTCAATTGAGGTACTATTTTGACATTTGATAAACTTGTCAAAATAGTGACAGCTGTCAAGACTCATCAAACAACAATTATATGTTTGAATTTTGAATCTTAATTGTTCAACACCAAATTGATTTTTTTTAAAATTGTATAAAGCATGTCAACTGTCAATTAACTGTCAATTTCAACTGTCAAAAGTCATACTTATACAAATAATGCAATGTTGCCAATAATTACATCGATTCTTTTTCAATTTCAATGCAATATTGAAAATGGAAAAAAAAAACAGTGTTGCAATGTCGCATTTTGATTTTGGCATATAACGTCAAATGTCACTTATGTCAAATTTTAATTTGTTAGTGCGACAAAATGAGTAAAAATTTTCATAACCATGTCAAAATTTGATTTTTTTTTTGAAAATATAAAAAAATTAATTTGTCAATACGTCAATTAAAGTACTATTTTGACATTTGATAAACTTGTCAAAATAGTGATAGCTGTCAAGACTCATCAAACAACGATTATATGCTTGAATTTTGAATCTCAATTGTTCAACACCAAATTGATTTTTTTTTTGAATTGTATAAAGCATGTCAACTGTCAATTTACAGTCAATTTCAACTGTCAAAAGTCATACTTATACAAATAATGCAATGTTGCCAATAATTACATCGATTCTTTTTCAATTTCAATGCAATATTGAAAATGGAAAAAAAAAAACAGTGTTGCAATGTCGCATTTTGATTTTGGCATATAACGTCAAATGTCACTTATGTCAAATTTTAATTTGTTAGTGCGACAAAATGAGTAAAAATTTTCATAACCATGTCAAAATTTGATTTTTTTTTTGAAAATATAAAAAAATTAATTTGTCAATACGTCAATTAAAGTACTATTTTGACATTTGATAAACTTGTCAAAATAGTGACAGCTGTCAAGACTCATCAAACAACAATTATATGTTTGAATTTTGAATCTTAATTGTTCAACACCAAATTGATTTTTTTTTAAAATTGTATAAAGCATGTCAACTGTCAATTAACTGTCAATTTCAACTGTCAAAAGTCATACTTATACAAATAATGCAATGTTGCCAATAATTACATCGATTCTTTTTCAATTTCAATGCAATATTGAAAATGGAAAAAAAAAAACAGTGTTGCAATGTCGCATTTTGATTTTGGCATATAACGTCAAATGTCACTTATGTCAAATTTTAATTTGTTAGTGCGACAAAATGAGTAAAAATTTTCATAACCATGTCAAAATTTGATTTTTTTTTTGAAAATATAAAAAAATTAATTTGTCAATACGTCAATTAAAGTACTATTTTGACATTTGATAAACTTGTCAAAATAGTGACAGCTGTCAAGACTCATCAAACAACAATTATATGTTTGAATTTTGAATCTCAATTGTTCAACACCAAATTGATTTTTTTTTTGAATTGTATAAAGCATGTCAACTGTCAATTTACAGTCAATTTCAACTGTCAAAAGTCATACTTATACAAATAATGCAATGTTGCCAATAATTACATCGATTCTTTTTCAATTTCAATGCAATATTGAAAATGGAAAAAAAAAAACAGTGTTGCAATGTCGCATTTTGATTTTGGCATATAACGTCAAATGTCACTTATGTCAAATTTTAATTTGTTAGTGCGACAAAATGAGTAAAAATTTTCATAACCATGTCAAAATTTGATTTTTTTTTTGAAAATATAAAAAAATTAATTTGTCAATACGTCAATTAAAGTACTATTTTGACATTTGATAAACTTGTCAAAATAGTGACAGCTGTCAAGACTCATCAAACAACAATTATATGTTTGAATTTTGAATCTTAATTGTTCAACACCAAATTGATTTTTTTTTAAAATTGTATAAAGCATGTCAACTGTCAATTTACAGTCAATTTCAACTGTCAAAAGTCATACTTATACAAATAATGCAATGTTGCCAATAATTACATCGATTCTTTTTCAATTTCAATGCAATATTGAAAATGGAAAAAAAAAAACAGTGTTGCAATGTCGCATTTTGATTTTGGCATATAACGTCAAATGTCACTTATGTCAAATTTTAATTTGTTAGTGCGACAAAATGAGTAAAAATTTTCATAACCATGTCAAAATTTGATTTTTTTTTTGAAAATATAAAAAAATTAATTTGTCAATACGTCAATTAAAGTACTATTTTGACATTTGATAAACTTGTCAAAATAGTGATAGCTGTCAAGACTCATCAAACAACGATTATATGCTTGAATTTTGAATCTCAATTGTTCAACACCAAATTGATTTTTTTTTTGAATTGTATAAAGCATGTCAACTGTCAATTTACAGTCAATTTCAACTGTCAAAAGTCATACTTATACAAATAATGCAATGTTGCCAATAATTACATCGATTCTTTTTCAATTTCAATGCAATATTGAAAATGGAAAAAAAAAAACAGTGTTGCAATGTCGCATTTTGATTTTGGCATATAACGTCAAATGTCACTTATGTCAAATTTTAATTTGTTAGTGCGACAAAATGAGTAAAAATTTTCATAACCATGTCAAAATTTGATTTTTTTTTTGAAAATATAAAAAAATTAATTTGTCAATACGTCAATTAAAGTACTATTTTGACATTTGATAAACTTGTCAAAATAGTGACAGCTGTCAAGACTCATCAAACAACGATTGTATGTTTGTATTTTGAATCTTAATTGTTCAACACCAAATTGATTTTTTTTTTTGAATTGTATAAAGCATGTCAACTGTCAATTAACAGTCAATTTCAACTGTCAAAAGTCATACTTATACAAATAATGCAATGTTGCCAATAATTACATCGATTCTTTTTCAATTTTAATGCAATATTGAAAATGGAAAAAAAAACAGTGTTGCAATGTCGCATTTTGATTTGGGCATATAACGTCAAATGTCACTTATGTCAAATTTAAATTTGTTAGTGCGGCAAAATGAGTAAAAATTTTCATAACCATGTCAAAATTTGAATTTTTTTTTGAAAATATAAAAAAATTAATTTGTCAATACGTCAATTGAGTTACTATTTTTGACATTTGATAAACTTGTCAAAATAGTGACAGCTGTCAAGACTCATCAAACAACGATTATATGTTTGAATTTTGAATCTTAATTGTTCAACACCAAAATGATTTTTTTTTTTTGAATTGTATAACGCATGTCAACTGTCAATTTCAACTGTCAAAAGTCATACTTATACAAATAATGCAATGTTGCTAATAATTACATCGATTCTTTTTCAATTTCAATAAAAATGGACTATTGAAAATAGAAAAAAAAAAACAGTGTTGCAATGTCGCATTTTGATTTTGGCATATAACGTCAAATGTCACTTATGTCAAATTTAAATTTGTTAGTGCGGCAAAATGAGTAAAAATTTTCATAACCATGTCAAAATTTGAATTTTTTTTTGAAAATATAAAAAAATTAATTTGTCAATACGTCAATTGAGGTACTATTTTTGACATTTGATAAACTTGTCAAAATAGTGACAGTTGTTAAGACTCATCAAACAACGATTATATGTTTGAATTTTGAATCTTAATTGTTCAACACCAAAATGATTTTTTTTTTTTTGAATTGTATAACGCATGTCAACTGTCAATTTCAACTGTCAAAAGTCATACTTATACAAATAATGCAATGTTGCTAATAATTACATCGATTCTTTTTCAATTTCAATAAAAATGGACTATTGAAAATAGAAAAAAAAAAACAGTGTTGCAATGTCGCATTTTGATTTTGGCATATAACGTCAAATGTCACTTATGTCAAATTTAAATTTGTTAGTGCGGCAAAATGAGTAAAAATTTTCATAACCATGTCAAAATTTGATTTTTTTTTTTGAAAATATAAAAAAATTAATTTGTCAATACGTCAATTGAGGTACTATTTTTGACATTTGATAAACTTGTCAAAATAGTGACAGCTGTCAAGACTCATCAAACAACGATTATATGTTTGAATTTTGAATCTTAATTGTTCAACACCAAATTGATTTTTTTTTTTGAATTGTATAACGCATGTCAACTGTCAATTTCAACTGTCAAAAGTCATACTTATACAAATAATGCAATGTTGCCAATAATTACATCGATTCTTTTTCAATTTAAATGCAATATTGAAAATGGAAAAAAAAAACAATGTTGCAATGTCGCATTTTGATTTTGGCATATAACGTCAAATGTCACTTATGTCAGATTTTGATTTGTTAGTGCGACAAAATGAGTAAAAATTTTCATAACCATGTCAAAATTTGATTTTTTTTTTGAAAATATAAAAAAATTAATTTGTCAATACGTCAATTGAGGTACTATTTTGACATTTGATAAACTTGTCAAAATAGTGACAGCTGTCAAGACTCATCAAACAACGATTATATGTTTGAATTTTGAATCTTAATTGTTCAACACCAAATTGATTTTTTTTAAAATTGTATAAAGCATGTCAACTGTCAATTAACTGTCAATTTCAACTGTCAAAAGTCATACTTATACAAATAATGCAATGTTGCCAATAATTACATCGATTCTTTTTCAATTTAAATGCAATATTGAAAATGGAAAAAAAAAACAGTGTTGCAATGTCGCATTTTGATTTTGGCATATAACGTCAAATGTCACTTATGTCAAATTTTAATTTGTTAGTGCGACAAAATGAGTAAAAATTTTCATAACCATGTCAAAATTTGATTTTTTTTTTGAAAATATAAAAAAATTAATTTGTCAATACGTCAATTAAAGTACTATTTTGACATTTGATAAACTTGTCAAAATAGTGACAGCTGTCAAGACTCATCAAACAACAATTATATGTTTGTATTTTGAATCTTAATTGTTCAACACCAAATTGATTTTTTTTTTTGAATTGTATAAAGCATGTCAACTGTCAATTAACAGTCAATTTCAACTGTCAAAAGTCATACTTATACAAATAATGCAATGTTGCCAATAATTACATCGATTCTTTTTCAATTTAAATGCAATATTAAAAATGGAAAAAAAAACAGTGTTGCAATGTCGCATTTTGATTTTGGCATATAACGTCAAATGTCATTTATGTCAAATTGGAATTTATTAATGCGACAAAATGAGTAATTGTTCATAACCAGTCATTGTCAATTTAACGTGTGTCAAATGTCAAATGTCGGAGGTGTCAAATACAAATTTTTTTTTACCTATAAAAATAATTTTTTCATTTGTACAGTCATTGTCAATTCAACGTGTGTCAAATGTCAAAAGTGTCGAATGTCAATTTTTCTACTTATACAAATCAGTTTTTTTTGACAATTTTACGTGTGTCGAATGTTACAGTGTCAAATTGTCAATTCAACGTGCCAGATATCGAAATGTTAAATATCAAAAAATGTTAATTTTAACCTATACAAATATGTCATGAATGTCAAACTCGATGTCAAATATTTGAAATTCTTAATCGTACAAATCTGTCAAATTTTTTTAAATGTACATAATATGTCAAATATTAAAAATTCTCATTCTCATATATGTTCACTGGGATAATTGACTTGATTCCTTATAGATGTCGCTCCGTATCAACTCAATAATAGAAATGACTACGTTTACAGCATTTTAATTAAAATTACATTTATTTATCAAATTAATTAATTGTAATTGTATAAGGCGGAGGATTAGTAATTCTCATAATATCATCATCTGCTTTGATTATTTCTTCATATTTAGGAGGCTCATCAATGTAATTTTCTACAAAAATAATCAATATTAATATCGCCTAAATTCTTAGAAAAAAAATCTTACGTGTATAAGGGGGAGGAGCAGCAACAGCTGGAAAAACAGTGAAAACTTCAATGTTTGAAACTCTTCTAGGAGGTCGACGTCGGAGTCTTTCTACATAGAATTTCAATGATTATTGAGTGGGACAAAGAGGCAAAACAATTACTTACCAGCCAAAAGACGCTCTCGCTCGTAAGTTTGCCTGATTTTCTGTAGCAAACCACAAAAGGAGACAATGAAAATGAATATTAAGGCTCCCAATAGAATTAATTCCAGTGCCATATTTTATACGTTTTAATAATATTTTTCTCCTATACAACATCTGTATATTAATAGATTAGATTAGATTAGAATTCCGATATCTATAGTAATATAGAACAATACATTATTTTGCCCCAAAACATCTACCTGAGAATTTATAATTATTTGTAGTTGATAAGGTTTTAATTGGAAAATAATAAAGGGTTTAAGGGAGTCATGTTTGTTAAGAGGGCCTAGTGATTTTGAGTTTTTGAATAATTAATTATAAAATTTTATATTCGTGTACCTACGCCACTGGCATCATCCGGTTTCTGAAAACCCCCTCAACCTTTCCTGTTAGTATAGATGATGATGTAAGATGGTGAATTTTCCTTAGTTTTGCTTGAAAAAGTCAATTTTCTAAGATTTTCCTAAAAAATTTTAAAATTTTCTTATAATGAGCTCCTCATTTTCCTAGAAAATTTTCGAAATTTTCCCTTTGCCAGTTTTCCAGGAAAAAATTAAAATGTAAAAGGGTGAATTTTGTTTAAAAAAATCAATTTTCCGGAATTTTACTGGAGCGATTTTTCCCTGGAAAATTTTGAAATTTTCCTATAAAAATCTCCTCACTTTCCTCTTTCTCCTGAAAAATTTTCAAAATTTTCCCTTTGCCAGTTTTCCAGGAAAAAGTTAAAATGTAATAGTGTGAATTTTCCTTAATTTTGCTTAAAAAAGTCAATTTTCTGGACTTTTTCCTGGAGTGATTTTTCATTGGAAAATTTTGAAATTTTCCTAAAATGATCTTCTCATCTTTCTCTTTCTCCTGGAAAATTTTCTAATTTTTCCCTTTACCAGTTTTCCAGAAAAAAATTAAAATTTAAAGGGATGAATTTTCCTTGATTTTGTTTAAAAAAGTCAATTTTCCAGAATTTTTCCTGGAGTCATTTTCAGTTGGAAAATTTTGAAATTTTCCTATAAAAATCTCCTCACTTTCCTGTTTCTCCTGGAAAATTTTCAAATACATATTGAAAAGTACTTGAAAATAGAAAAAAGTACTCATTAAAAGTACTTGAAAACTGAATTAAAACTGTCAAAAATAAGTAGGTACTTGAAATTTTTTTCGAAACTTTAAAATATTGAAAAGTACTTGAAAATATACTTTAAACTTAACAAAAAGTACTTGAAACAAATCTTGAAAACTTTAAAAAATTTCAAAACTAATTTTAAAACTGTTTAAAAAATTAAGTACTTGAAATTTTTTTGATTTTTATCAGAATTTTCCAAGTTTTGAAATTTTTTCGAGTACTTTAAAATTGAACTTGAAGTTTCAAGTAGTTGTTTGTTGACATTGGATTTAAAAAAAAAAAAAAATGTGGGATTTTTATCGAAGTTTTCTAAGTTTTGAAAATTTTTCCAAGTACTTTTCAATAATTCAAAGTTATATTTGAAGTTTCAAGTACTTTTTTGTTAACATCGCATTTTTTTCTTGAAAAAGCGTTTTTTTTTTGCCAAATTTTTCTCGAAAATTTCCAAGTTTTGAAATTTTTTCAAGTACTTTCAAATTGAACTTGAAGTTTCAAGTACTTGTTTGTTAACATTGGATTTAAAAAAAAAAAAATTGTGGGATTTTTATCGAAGTTTTCTAAGTTTTGAAAATTTTTCCAAGTACTTTTCAATAATTCAAAGTTATATTTGAAGTTTCAAGTACTTTTTTGTTAACATCGCATTTTTTTCTTGAAAAAGCGTTTTTTTTTGCCAAATTTTTCTCGAAAATTTCCAAGTTTTGAAATTTTTTCGAGTACTTTAAAATTGAACTTGAAGTTTCAAGTAGTTGTTTGTTGACATTGGATTTTTAAAAAAAAAAATTGTGGGATTTTTATCGAAGTTTTCTAAGTTTTGAAAATTTTTCCAAGTACTTTTCAATACTTCAAAGTTGTATTTGAAGTTTCAAGTACTTTTTTGTTAACATCGCATTTTTTTCTTGAAAAAGCGTTTTTTTTTTGCCAAATTTTTCTCGAAAATTTCCAAGTTTTGAAATTTTTTCGAGTACTTTAAAATTGAACTTGAAGTTTCAAGTACTTGTTTGTTAACATTGGATTTATTTTTTTTAAATTTTCTTAGATGTTTATCGAAGTTTTCTAAGTTTTGAAAATTTTTCCAAGTACTTTTCAACACTTTTTTAAGTTGGATTTAAAATTTCAAGTACTTGTTTTTAACAATTTGAAGCTGCTTTTGATATTGTTTTAAAATACACTACTTTCAAAGTAATTTTCAAGTACTTTTCAATACTTTAAAGTTGAACTTGAAGTTTAATGAAAATTTTCAAGTACTTATTTTTGAATAGTGTAAAATCGCTTTTTAAGTTTTCAAAATCTTTTTCAAGTATTTTTTAACAACTTGGTTAAATTGGTTTTCAAGTTTTCAAATGTCGTTTTAAAGTACTTCTCAGCACTTTAAAGATGAACTTGAAATTTCAAAAAAAATTTAAGTACCTATTTTTGAACAGTAAGTTTTGTTTTCAAATACTTTTCAACACTTTGATGATTATTTTTTTCTACTTTCAAGTACTTTTCAACATTTTGAATATGAAATTGAAATTTCCAAAAAAAAAAATCAAGTACTTTTTTGTGAAATTTTTATAACTTTAAAGTTATTATCAAGTACTTTTCAATACTTGAAAGTGAAACTTGAAGTTTCAAAAGTTTCTTCAACTACATATTTTTGACAGTTTTAATTAAGTTTTCAAGTACTTTTAAAGAATTTGTTTAATATTTTCAAGTACTTAATTATTTGAACAGTTTTAAAATTAGTTTTGAAACTTTAAAGTATTGAAAAGTACTTGAAAATATTGAAAAGTATTTCAAAACTAAATTAAAAACTTTTGAAACTCTGAAGTTACTTGAAAATAACTTTAAATTTGTTAAAAAGTACTTGAAACAAATTTTGAAAACTTTAAAAAATTTCAAAATAATTTTAAAACTGTTCAAAAAATTAAGAACTTTAAATTTTTTTTTTTATTTTAAATTTCAAAATATTGATAAGTACTTGAAAATAACTTTAAATTTGTTAAAAAATACTTGAACAAATTTTGAAAACTTTACAAAATTTCAAAACTAATTTTAAAACTGTTTAAAAAATCAAGTACTTGAAAATATTGATTTTATTTTTTTAAAGTACTTGAAAACTAAATTAAAACTGTCAAAAATATGTACTTGAAGTAACTTTTGAAACTTCAAGTTTAACTTTTAAGTATTGAAAAGTACTTGATAATAACTTTAAAGTTATAAATTTTCACAAAAAAGTACTTGAATTTTTTTTTGGAAATCTCAATTTCATATTCAAAATGTTGAAAAGTAGAAAAAAATAATCATCAAAGTGTTGAAAAGTATTTCAAAACAAAACTTAAACTGTTCAAAAATAGGTACTTAAATTTTTTTTGAAATTTCAAGTTCATCTTTATAGTGCTGAGAAGTACTTTAAAAACACATTTGAAAACTTGAAATCCAATTTGGAACTGTCAAGAATAAGTACTTGAAAAGACTTTTGAAAAGTACTTGAGAATAATTTTCAAGTTGTTAAAAATACTTGAAAAAGATTTTGAAAACTTAAAAAGTGATTTTACACTATTCAAAAATAAGTACTTGAAAATTTTCATTAAACTTCAAGTTCAACTTTAAAGTATTGAAAAGTACTTGAAAATTACTTTGAAAGTAGTGTCTTTTAAAACAATATCAAAAGCAGTTTCAAATTGTTAAAAACAAGTACTTGAAATTTTAAATCCAACTTAAAAAAGTGTTGAAAAGTACTTGGAAAAATTTTCAAAACTTAGAAAACTTCGATAAACATCTAAGAAAATTAAAAAAAAATAAATCCAATGTTAATAAACAAGTACTTGAAACTTCAAGTTCAATTTTGAAGTACTTGAAAAAATTTCAAAAACTTGGAAATTTTCGAGAAAAATTTATCAAAAAGTCCGATGTAAATAAGAAGTGCTTGAAATTTTAAATCCAACTTTAAAAAGTGGTAAAAAGTACTTGGAAAAATTTTCAAAACTTAGAAAACATCGATAAAAATCTAAGAAAAATTTGAAAAAAAAATCCAATGTTAATAAACAAGTACTTGAAATTTCCAATTCAATTTTAAAGTACTTGAAAAAATTTCAAAACTTGGAAATTTTCGAGAAAAATTTACCAAAAAATCCGATGTAAATAAGAAAAACTTGAAATTTGAAATCCAATAAGTACTTGAATTTTTTTTTTTAAATTTAAAATATTGAAAAATACTTGAAAATATACTTTAAACTTAACAAAAAGTACTTGAAACAAGTTTTGAAAACTTTAAAAAATTTCAAAACTAATTTTAAAACTGTTTAAAAAATTAAGTACTTGAACATTTTTTTGAAATTTCAAAGTATTGAAAAGTACTTGAAAATAGAAAAAAGAACTCTTTAAGAGTACTTGAAAACTGAATTAAATCTGTCAAAAATAAGACTTGAAAAAATTTTTGAAACTTTAAAATATTGAAAAGTACTTGAAAATATACTTTAAACTTAACAAAAAGTACTTGAAACAAATCTTGAAAACTTTAAAAAATTTCAAAACTAATTTTAAAACTGTTTAAAAAATTAAGTACTTGAAATTTTTTTGATTTTTATCAGAATTTTCTAAGTTTTGAAATTTTTTCGAGTACTTTAAAATTGAACTTGAAGTTTCAAGTAGTTGTTTGTTGACATTGGATTTAAAAAAAAAAAAAAATGTGGGATTTTTATCGAAGTTTTCTAAGTTTTGAAAATTTTTCCAAGTACTTTTCAATAATTCAAAGTTATATTTGAAGTTTCAAGTACTTTTTTGTTAACATCGCATTTTTTTCTTGAAAAAGCGTTTTTTTTTTGCCAAATTTTTCTCGAAAATTTCCAAGTTTTGAAATTTTTTCAAGTACTTTCAAATTGAACTTGAAGTTTCAAGTACTTGTTTGTTAACATTGGATTTAAAAAAAAAAAAAAATGTGGGATTTTTATCGAAGTTTTCTAAGTTTTGAAAATTTTTCCAAGTACTTTTCAATAATTCAA